AGTAGATAATGGGGAGAATATCCTTTTAAACTCTATGCACCAATCAATGATTGCTTCCTATTTTAGTTAGTAGTTAGATCATCTATTAACTTTTAAAGAAAGTTAATTTTTTTAAATTTTTTCTTCTTACTTCAAAGATATTCAGTTCATTTTCGGTATATGATTCTTGTCTGCTCATAGTATACATTTTATTAAACTTCGTGTAAAGTTCACAAAGTTCTTTACAAGTTATTTCATTTTCTTCGCTGAAAATTTCATCTAAAGCAAAAATCACTATCTTCATAATATGACGATAGTCTGATGCTGTCATTACTTTTAGTTGACTTACTTTACTTAACAATTTAAGGCCTGAAAAACATGGAATTTGTCGAAGGCGTTCATCAAAAATCTTCTGTAATTCCAACCCTCTGACCTTTTTTAAGATTTCCTGCGTAAACTCCAGTTGATATTTAAAAAGTCTAAGGTCGATATAATGCATACGGTCGGAAATGCATGCTTCGTAAATATTCAGATTTCTGTAAAAAAATTTATATATGTAAAAAAATTTTTACAACGTCGTCATTACTTATAAAATTTAGTAATATTTACGGAAATTTCCAGAAGGCATTTTTGACGTAATGTACAGAATACTCCTTTCCTTGTTCAGCGCTAACCATTTTTTTCATATTTTCATGAGTTCTGGAAAGTATATCTTCTTGTGTAAGTTTCATATTGTTTAAGTTATTTTGCAGAACCATACAAGTATCATCGGTAATATTTTGAGAGTCGGGATCCACGTGAAATCCTTATTTTCCATAAATAGTAAGGATTCGTATGGATCCTTCCCCACCTCAGCGGATCTTTGGAATTAAAAAGTTCAAGGGATCCTAAAGGGTTTGAAGTTTTAATTCAAAGATCTTTAAGGATTTAATATAATCGAATTTTTCACTTAATATCACTATATTAGTTATTATTTTACATTAATGCTTTATTGTAAATTATTATATATTATTAAATTATAGGTTATGATAATACATTTTTAACGCGCTATATTGACTTTTTTTTATGTACAAATTCTTTTTACACTGAAATTACCGAAATTAAGCTGTACTATTCATATTTTCTATTATTTAGAAAATTAAAAATATATTCTGTTATTATTAATTTAAATTTGTTTGATTTTTCGATCATATGATTACAAATACTTGTACGATGCACAAATCTTGAAATATGCTTTAAATTCACTATAAACAATAGTATAATTACAATTAGTATTTATAAATGTTATAAGATTATTATCATTATTATAAATTAAAATAGAAGACTACCTTTATTCATCAATTGTTTGATCTTGATCGATATTGTAATTTTCGCCAAGTTCTTTATCGACTTGATCATTCTCTTGATCTTCATCACGATCATCATAACGGTGGTCATCACTCTCGCTAGTATCATCTGAATTATCACATGTTTTACCTAATTCATCTTGTCTAACTTGTTTGGTAATCTCGGATGTTATTTCTTTAAAATTATGGATACAATCTTATAAATAATATTATCAATATCTGCTTAACTAATGCATATTGCTATCAATCTCTTACATACCAGATATAAGTCAAATCGTTTATGGAGAGCATTATCACTAACAGATATTCGTGGATGTCTCAGATTTAAAACAATTTCACAAACTGCCAATGTAAAAGCAGTATCCATCAATGTAGTCTTCTTTCTCTCCCATGCCTTTTTCTTAATTGCTTCAATATACGGAAGGGTACCATCATCATCACTTATAAATAAACATTTAAACGCATTTTTGGTATTATTTGAATTTTTAAAAGTTGCAATATCTCCAGCTCCTGCAGAAGTATTAATTCGAGTTAAAAGATTTTCACCAAAGATGTCAAACATTGCAGATCGAACATCTTTGGCCTTATCACATCTTCTGCTTTTAATTACATCACGGCACTAAAGAGAACATTTAATATATTAGTTAAAGTATAATAATTTATACCAAAAATATTAATATTATAACTTACTAGAGGTCTGACACGTTCCAAATAAAAATGATTCCACTGTAGGCCAAGTTGTTCAATATAACCTGGCTTTTCTTGTTCAAGTATACTTTCGAAGCCTTTCTTGAATTCTGAATCATCAGGATAAAGACCAAGAATAGGTAGTTGAGTTTTGCAAGTTTTTGACGCCAAGCTCTACAAAAATAAAATGAGTTTGTATATCAAATCCTTTGCTAAAAATTATTATTTAATAATTGCTCAAGTTTACCTTCCAATAGGAATCTTCAGGAGTAATTAATTGGTTAATTTTCTCTGAAATAATATTTAATTTTTCATTTGTTTCTTTTTGGAACGCGTCTTGCGAAGCCTTCATTTCATATATTGCTTCATATATATGCTTATTTTGGCCCAAACTCCTCTTTAGACCCTCAATCATGTGCGAATAAAATGTCTTAGTAGTATCGGCTGAAAAAAGACCAAATCAATATTATATGATAAATAATTAATAATTAATATCATAAATTCGAATACTTGGAGCATTTTCCATCGATCTCAAAGTATTCATATTAGATGATGCATCAGCTAGTGCAGCTAATGCTTCTTCTCTGTCCTCATCACGCATCTCCTGTTCTTGTATTTGTGAAAGATTACAAGAATCTTCAAAATTACGCACTCCTCTGGATTGTGAACTTGACGCAACAAGTTCAACATTTGCATCTTGTCGTTTTCGTTGAGTTGAGGATTTAATAGACCTTGCTGCAGCTAAACGAGCAGCAATTTTATCTGCTTCACTCGTTGCTGTCTTAGAATTAGTTATATTAGAAGAATTTTTGCGTCTCGAGATTCTTTGATTAACTATATTAAATAAAAACAAACAAAAATGTTTTCTTAATAACGGTAATATTAAGGCTTAACCATAGTGCCATGCTAAATAAAAAAATATTTACCTTTTTCTTTAGGCATGTCAGAAAATTCTAAGCGAATTTATTGAAACTTAAAAAGTAGAAGTTTAAGTTACTTTAAACTCCAAATATAATACGAACAAATTATTATCAAAAATGGTAATTACCCATATGGTGATTAAGATCTGATCAAAAATGGATCAAAAAATATTTTTTTTTAAACTGTTACCAAAGTTATATAATTATTTTTTTAACGTGTAATTATTATAATTATGTATCAATGTAACTTTTGTAAACGTTGTTTTTCACGAAAACAAGACCTGACCCAATATTGTCACCAGCTTCACACATATACCAACTATTCTCGTACATTAAATTGGGTTCAGGATCAACAATCAAGTTCTAATAATAATATACGGCAAAAAACTATTGATAATAATGTTTGGAATGAAATTGAAGGTTTAGATATTTTTTTACAAATAACAAGTGCTGACGACAAACAAAATAATGAGGTAATTTTCATAATTCTTTCAAATCATTGTAAATTAATTGCTAATTATTAACTGATTTGTTAAGAAATCAGATTTGAACAATACAGCAGATGCACCTATGGCCTTCAATAAATATGAAAATGATGATTATACAGATGATGAATATCATGAAATTACCCGATCGCGAGAAAGTAAAAGCATCTCTTCTACAGCATCAAGCGAAGATTTTTGTGGTGTGAGTTTAGCTGATGCGTATAAAGACTTGAATAACAATCCAGAACAAACATTATGGCCTAGTGAAACGTACAAAGAATTTATGATGGCTGTAACACAATATCGTCTTTCTGACGCAGCCGCTGATTCTATGTTACGTATACTAAAAAAACATTGTACTGATCAACTTCCTGGATCTACTAGGAAAGGGCGTACATTTATTGACAATATGGATGTTAAAGGTTTACAATTTAAAGAAAAAGAACTCATTATATTTGAAGAAGAAATTTATAAATTACATTATAGGCCAATTTATGATGCAATAAAAAGTTTGGTTTCGAATTCTGATTTGACTAAAGATTTTCTTTTCGATTATGATGAACAATGGGAATATGGTCTTGTAAGTATTTTTATAATGTATATATTGATGTATTATATTTTAAAAGATTAATAATAATTTTATTCTAGAATGGATCACTCGTACGTGTTTATTCTGAACAGAATACAGCAGACTGATGGCGTGAAAGATATAATTCATTTAGCAAAATTTTATCAGTTATGATTTATATTGATGGAACTACTCTTGATACTCTTGGGCGAAAATCTGAGTATCCTATTTTCTTAACCCTTGGAAATATTCCAAATTTACATTGCAACTTACCTGATGCAAAAGTTTTTATCGGATTTTTACCTCATTTAACTACGCGAGATAATAAATTGCGAAATTCAAAGGAATTTAAGCAGAAGCAACGGGATTTGAAGCATCGTGCTTTGAAATATTTATTAGGTCCACTTCTTAAGGAGGATGGTATATACTTAGCAGTAAATGGAAAAGTTGAGCACTTTACCATTTATTTGTCTAGTATAATTGCAGATATGCTAGAAGCACAGGATATTTGTTGTACTTACAAGTCATATCGTACACGATGTCCTTGCTATAAATGTCTTATGCCCGGTGATCAATTAAATAATATGAATATTAAACAGGATATGATAGATTTACGTAATCATGAAAACATGCAAGAAGCTATTGCTTCTCACAATGCAGAAAATTATTCCATTCACGAATATGATAATTTTTTCTGGAATTTTAGGTATTAATTTATTTGAATTTATTTGACGATTCCTTTTTTTTTGATTTAATTTAAAATTATAATTTTTTTAATTTTTTTAGAATAATGAACATATATGATGCAGCAGCACTAGATCATATGCATTTACAAGAAATCGGATTATTTCCATATATGCTTGATTATACAAGAGGTATGCTCATGCATCAGTATGGAAAACAAATAATCAGTAAAATGGACAATCGACTGGCTACTATTACACGATTTAATAATTTAAGAATATTAAAAAAAGGTTATCAACAAGGTACAAAATTTACGGGAGGTGAAATGCGAGATGTTATGAAGATTATTGTATTTGTTCTTGATGAGCTGTACACAACAGATAATAAAATCAATAACTAAACAGATAGTAATTTATATACTATTGCTTCATGTAAAAATCTTATTATATGTTACATTAAATTTATTAAGATGTATATTACGTCACGAAAAAAGAAATTTAATGAAGATGATTTAAAAATCTTTGAAGTATGATTATTTCTTTACATAATAATAGTATAATATTACAAATAATTTTTTTACTAATTTGCTTTTTAATATAGCGTGAAATAATAGATTGGTCTAATGATTTTGTAAATATATTTGCGCAATTCTCCTCTAGTGGACTTCAGTTACCAAAGCTTCATATGTGGAGATATCATACTATTCATACCATTCGGCGATATGGTGCATTAAATGGGCTGACAACTGAGACGTACAAAACGCTTCACAAAAATTGGATTAAAAATCCATATAGAATGTCTAATAAAAAGAATACACATAATCAAATGTTAAAGACGGTATGTTATAATGCAATTTTCAGCCAAATAAATGTAAAAGATTTTTTTAACAATTTAAATATATTATTAGATTCGACGACAAATAATTACAAATACCATTACGAAAAAAACTATAAGTTTGAAACTAAATTCTATGAAATCACTCCTTTGGGAATTGCCAATAAGTGAAATATATACTTTTCAAGAAAAGCTTAAGCATGAAGAAAATATAAATGAATTGTGTATTGAAGGAATGGAACATTTAATTGCTTGTTTAGATATATACTTAGATGATATATCTAATGCATCAGCAAATGAAGAAATTTATTTGAAGATTTATGCTAACGGAACACTGTCAAATGGAGAAATCGTATATGCAACAAGTAAATTTCATGGTTACGCAAGATTTAGTGACGTTGCAATTGCAATGGGTGATACAGATTACTTAACTGACGGTGGATTATGTTATGGCAAGGCAAGTATTTATATAATTTATTTTAACTAAAACTAAACACTATTTAATATTTTTATTTATTTTACAGGTATTAATGTTAATTGAAGTTTCGTTCCTTCCTAATCATCCTTATTTATCTCTTGCTTTAGTACATTGGTATAATTACTATTCTAAATGATATCCCATAATGTATGAATGTCCCCATATGAAATTTGTAAATTATTATGATTTAATACCATTTGAATCCATTGCAGGTTTAGTGCATATGGTAAACCGGTTTGATTTTAATAATGAATTTTTCGTAAATAAGTTTATTTTTTGAAAATATATATAGTAAATAGTAGTATCCAATATAATATATAACATTTAATAATAAAGTAATTATAATATTAATAATATTAACAATAATATTCATATTAAATTAATTGAAAAATTTTTAAAAAAATCCTTAGAGTTTTTTTTTTAAGGATCTTTAAAGAATCTGACAATTAATAAATTCCTAAAAGATCCTTAAAAATTAGTAAAGAATTTTTAGGATTCCATGAATTTGCGAATCTTTAGGGATTCTATAGAAAATTATGGAATCCTTGTGGATCCTGTTCCAAAAAATATTACTGATGATAGCATGGCATTTTACATCGCGCTCCTTTATATGTAACAGTCACATCATCTGCTTTGAGCATATCCGCAAGAAAAAAAGAAATTTGTGCAGCAAATGTTTTTGCTTGTCCATTAATCCCAAAACATAACGTATTAGGTTTCTCCAGTAAAGGCCAAAGCATGATATTAAAGCATTTGTGAAATATTTCACGCTGCAAACTTCAAAAGACTTCGGTAATTTTAATGCCTGAATCTTGAACTTTAGGCAAAAAACCTAAAAGTATTTTAGATTCTAGTAGGTTTCAAACCCAATTTGGAACATTTCTAAGCGTTAAAAATACTGGATGGCCTGATGTCTTGCCCAGTCCATCGAAAGTGGTTCTATTCAAATATAAGATGATAGACAATAGGTGATTTAATAGCGGAAGAATCTTTTCCGTTTCCAGCCACCAGTCACCTTCATATGGCTCACCAAACACTCTTATTTCGCTTCCATCATCCTAAGAATATAAACAACCAAAAATCTGAGTGATGATCTTTAGTTTTTTTTAGTCATTCATAATTATTAAATTTACCCTTTTTTTCTTTAGAATTCCCTTATAGACAAAATTATTAGCTACTTCTGGTCGTTGCAGAAGAGCTTGAATAGCGCGAAATATGGGACAATAGTAGAATGTAATGTCAATACTGCTGTAGGTTGAAACAACTTTTTCTTTGAAGTCTAATGAAGTGAAGTTATTTGATTGAGATGGTCTTTGCCATTTTTGGTTGATTTCGGTAATGGAGATTCTTCCAGATTGCTATATTTATTAAAGAATTTAATTATTTGATCTCCAATTTTATTAGATATATTACCCTCTACAATTAATCTCATGAAATCTCTGTATGCATCATTTGGCCACTTTGCTACGCATTCTGGTAAATTTTTTCCTTCAATAGCATCTAAAGCATCATCTAACGATGCTCCTTGAAGATCTTCAGGATCTAGATCAATATTGTCGAGATTTACTGGTATTTCTGTTCCCAACTCCTCAAAATTTTCTTCAAAAATTTCTTCAGCTCTCTCTTCTATATTTTCTGTTTTTGATCTTTTTCGCAGATTATAATGTGGTTTAGATTCTAAATTGTCTGCATCTTGAGTTGGAATTTCATTGATTATTATATCCTACATCTCACCAATATTATCATTTTGGTATGTGGATTTTTCATGCAAAGTAAATGTATCTGGCATTGTAATAGGTGTGTTCCATAACTGAACATCATGTTCTAGCATAACCGCTGTTCTTGATAATTGTCGCGAGAATCTTTGAACGTGTTCACTTGGTTCACTTGGTTGAGAAGTTGTTGTTCTTTTATGGTATTTGGCATTAGCGTGCTGTCTCAAACCGCTGGGAGTTGAAAAATATCTTTTGCAAATTTAACATTTATATCTGACCATTTTTCTTTAAAAATCAATGCGAGTTTAGAAATTAATGCAGGAAAATTTTTTCAATTAGTTTCACGCGAGAAATATTTATGAAGATTTACTTTTGGTATATTTTTTTTTTACTGATTATCAAGCGAATATAAATTTTATTACTGATAATTGATTATTTTTGTTTACTAAAAGATAATTAATTTATTTACTGATTAGTAATTAATTTTTTTCATTTACTGATATTTTTAATTCAGGAGTAACTGATTTTTTTACCAATTCATTAACAATTAATTTATTTAATTTACTGATCCTTAAATATATTTTAATTCAGGAGTAACTGATTTTTTAAAAAAATTCCGGCAAAACTTTTAACCTTACACAATTTTTCAATTATTTATAATGTAAGAATTTTTTCATTTTTTTCGGTTGGCTGAATCGTCGCATATTAACATTTTTTTTTCAATTTTCGAATTAATTGTTATTTGAATTTTTCTCTGCAATATTTTTCCTATACAAATTTTACAAATTTAGAATTTAAGTGATTATGGCGTCTAAAAGGTCAAAAAATGCAAAAAAACTCAAAAAAAAGAAAGCAAGCACTTGACGTTCTTGAAGGATAAAGAAGAAAACAAGCACTTGACGTTCCTGAAGGACAGAATGAAAGCCAACAAAATATATTTGCACAAATGTTATCAGGTAGTTAGTCGTCAAGATGCTGATATTTTGCAATTTAACATTATAATTAACTTTTGCTGAACGCCAACAGTAGAATCTTCAGAAAATTCCTAAAGATCCACGCAGAGATTGTGAAAAATCACCTACTGGTCCTTTCGTACTCATTACTCCATTTTGATGTAGATCGTGAAAGATTTTTAGTTAAATCTGTTTCTTTTACTCCAGCAAATCGTGAGAAATCCTCAACAAATCGCGAGAATTTTTTAGTCAGGACTGCGCATACTGAAACTTCCGTTTCAACTACATTGACACCATCTGTAACTTCTATAAGTTATGAAAGAACTTTGAAAATGCCAACTCCCATACTTAGTCCAATGCAAATTGACCTTGATAAAGAAATTGATTATTATAACGTCGATGACGATGATAACGAAGAATATAATGATAACCGCGATAAAAGTGATACCCGTGAGCCTTTACCAAAACCACATATTGTAGAGGGTGAACGTTACCTAATTGTGAAAGAGTTTAATTATGCCATGAATGTATTAGATGGAAAGGTAAACGCCATCTACAAACTGTGTTGATATATTGGAGATCAGCAACAAAAAAGTATTCAAGATACGCAAAATGTTGCAAAAAGTGATGTATTAAGCGATGATTTCTGGAATGTAAGTTAATTAAAAATTATCAACTTGATTTTAATCTAAAGATACTTATAATAACCAAATATAAAAATGTAGCTAAAGAACTTATTCCAACGTCTTTATATCATTCAGATATAGAGTACCGAAAGGCTTTAGAAACATATTTATCTAAATATGCAGAATATTACATTAAAAATATTGGGCAAAACGCATGGATTTCTTTATTTTCAGATAAATTATTGGCAGAGGTATGTGAAATATTAATAATCGTTAAAAAAAAGTATTTTTTTATATTTATTTAACTTTTTTTTTAGATAAAAACTAAATGCAGAAGCAGGAGAAATGATTTTGCCGCAAGTATCAGGAGTGCCATGTTTTCCGTCTTTGGAGAACAGCGATTGAAACGCATAGATAACAATTCTCCTTCTATGAAGATCGCTGAATGGAAACAGAATCAAAAAACGCGTAATGCATTTTATGAACTTTTCAAAAATCATGATATTCTAACGAAAATTGGCCATTCAGTTTTCAAACAATATAGGGATAAAGAACTTCCTTTTACACATTGTGCGTATATTCTATCAATATGTGACATCTTGTTAAATCCCAATAGCTATAGTATTAAGTGTAATGACAAGTCTGTTATGAAAAGAGTCAAATTTTTTCTAGTAAATAATTTTCGCAAATTTTCGCAGTTCTTTTAATCTTTTAATATTTTACAGATATTAATCTATAATTAATTAACAGCAAGCGTTTAGAAATAAAACGCAAATAACTCCTCGAATAATGGAGGAATTAGCTGAAAAAGAAGCAAAAGAAGTTAGTCAAAGAACCAATTAATACGAGTCAGCAGTCGCAGAAGAGAGCAGCGATTCAGTTAAAAATGAAAATTATGATGATTTTGTAAGTTAAAGTTATTATTTATGTTCGATTATACACTTAATTGAATTATTTTACTAAGCTAAATCATCATTTTTTTTTAGATTAATAATCTAGATTCGCAATTTCCTCAGGATTAATTGTATTTCTTTGAAATACCTGTCTCTTATACACATCTAGATGTGTATAAGAGACAGGCATCATCTAACGATGCTCCTTGAAGATCTTCAGGATCTAGATCAATATTGTCGAGATTTACTGGTATTTCTGTTCCCAACTCCTCAAAATTTTCTTCAAAAATTTCTTCAGCTCTCTCTTCTATATTTTCTGTTTTTGATCTTTTTCGCAGATTATAATGTGGTTTAGATTCTAAATTGTCTGCATCTTGAGTTGGAATTTCATTGATTATTATATCCTACATCTCACCAATATTATCATTTTGGTATGTGGATTTTTCATGCAAAGTAAATGTATCTGGCATTGTAATAGGTGTGTTCCATAACTGAACATCATGTTCTAGCATAACCGCTGTTCTTGATAATTGTCGCGAGAATCTTTGAACGTGTTCACTTGGTTCACTTGGTTGAGAAGTTGTTGTTCTTTTATGGTATTTGGCATTAGCGTGCTGTCTCAAACCGCTGGGAGTTGAAAAATATCTTTTGCAAATTTAACATTTATATCTGACCATTTTTCTTTAAAAATCAATGCGAGTTTAGAAATTAATGCAGGAAAATTTTTTCAATTAGTTTCACGCGAGAAATATTTATGAAGATTTACTTTTGGTATATTTTTTTTTTACTGATTATCAAGCGAATATAAATTTTATTACTGATAATTGATTATTTTTGTTTACTAAAAGATAATTAATTTATTTACTGATTAGTAATTAATTTTTTTCATTTACTGATATTTTTAATTCAGGAGTAACTGATTTTTTTACCAATTCATTAACAATTAATTTATTTAATTTACTGATCCTTAAATATATTTTAATTCAGGATTAACTGATTTTTTAAAAAAATTCTGGCAAAACTTTTAACTTTACACAATTTTTCAATTATTTATAATGTAAGAATTTTTTTATTTTTTTTCGGTTGGCTGAATCGTCGCAATAA